ATATGATGTGGCTACAAGGGGGTGCCTCAAATCATTGGTATACCTTGTGCTTAGTTTGACAATGATTTTTTTTTAAATGTAATGCAATGCGATGATCATATGCAAGTAAATAAATGCTCATTTTATTAAAAAGAAAAAGAAAGAATATACAAAATTAATCTAAGGGAAAAGAAAGGTGCCTATGCTAGACTTATTGGGGGAGGGAAAAAAAGAAAAAGGAAAAAGTGGTCATGAAATCTTGTCGTTGAAGCTCGCCTCTTGTCTTGTGTCGTTTGCTTCATCATCACCCAGTCTTCTCGTTAGCTAGAGGCAGTGGGATCTTATTTGCTTCTATGAGATCTTGAATGAGATTTTGAAACCTGTAGCATTCATCAGTAGTATGACCGCGTCCTCGATGGTACTTGCAGTAAGAGTTGGGATTCCATCTCGAAGATCGATTTTCTGGCGTTGGATCCTTGGTAGGGCCAATAGGTTTGATTAATCCTCGATCGTAAAGACGGTCGAAAGCAGCATCGTAAGTCATTCCAATGGGTGTGAACTCTCTCCTGGGTTTCCTTTTAGATCCTTGATTGTCCATGGCTAAGGCACCATTATGGTAAAAGGTACTAACATTATTACTAGAGTGGGTGTTTTCGGAAGAAGAAGGATTGTCGTTCTTCTTTCCTTTCCAGCTATTGTGGTTACTACTGTTAGTAGCTTTTTGTTTTGCGAGGTCATCTTCGATTTCAATTCCGATGTCATAAATGGCCTTGAAAGTATTCAGATTGTGTTGATATTTTAAATGCTTTGAATACTTCTCTTGGAGATTCTTGATAAACATCCTCACAGATTCTTTTTCAGTGGGCACCTCAATCATCTTAGCGGAAGTTTCCTTCCATTTATTAAAGAAAGAAGTAAAGCCTTCATTCTCTTTTTGTCTTAGCATCTCAAGTTGTCTATAATCGGTTTCAACTTGAATATTGCACTTGTACCTATCAATGAAAGCGTTTACTATCGATTCCCAGGTAGAGGTTTTCTCTTTATCAAGGGAGAAGAACCATTGTTGGCAAACGGTTTCAAGAGATAGAGAAAAAATAGAGGGAAACACTTTCTTATCAATACCCTTAACACTCATTATTGTTTCAACAGCTCTTAAATGAAAATAAGGGTTGTCAGTCGCCTTGAATTTCGGGATGTCGTTGGCATTGAACTTATGCGAAAGAAGTTCTTTATCCACCAAGACCCCTTGTGAACTAATGCCCTGAAATTTATAGTCACTAGATAGCTTGCTCAAGCTTTCTTGCATGAGGTTCATTTGTTGTTGCTTCACAGGGTCATCAATTTTGAGGGTTAAAGCCTTTAACACCTCAGTCATGTCAGTCAATTGACTCCTAAGTTCATTAACTTCCTCTTGAGTTGCCATTATCTTTTTAGCCTTCCTCTTTTGACGAATCGGTTTATCAAAAAGTAAGACTTGAATAAAGAGGTTATCTTTGCTTAATCGCCCTTCACTCCTCGACCAAGTACTGTGGAAAAGGAATTTGGGGATATTCATTGTAAATTGTTTGACTCAAACTTTATTCAACATGCAATGGATGGAGGAAGTGAAGAAAGATGATGTAGATGGAGGAATATGAAGAATTAGGAATGGAATGTACCCTTAACTTAAATGACGGAAAAAAACCGACTCATGCATGAACCTAAGACATGGTCATGGTGATATATACTCAAAGTGTGTGCTAAGACTAGTGAGTGTAGGTGACATGTTAAGACTCGTGTCATGACCATGTGGCTGGACTATGTGACTAGACTCAATTAATGACTTAACAAGGTGTAATTAACAGAATTAATTAGCAAACTGTTTAATTAGACACAATGTGATGACTCGAGCAAAAAACCGAACTGTCGCCAAAACGACAGGACTGGCGCCGAACTGTATAGTGTAGCGCCAGACGACAGAGCTGTCGCCAGGCGCTACACTCCATTGAGTGGCGCTGCAGTCCAAATCTCGGCGCCAGTGCTGGAACGTTGATCTGGAACTGCTTTCGGTATTATTACTCTACAGGGTACGCCTAAAGTCGTACTAAGTCAAATCTGATTAGATTATTAGACTCTAATTACCAAAATTAATTAATTAATTAATTAAGCAAAGTCTTTTTATCCATTAAGCAATTTATTTTGTCTTAACGCAAGTCAAACAAACGGTTAGGAAAAATCACATAGAGTATGCCCAACAAATAATGCACAATTAGTCAAGTAGGCACAATATGATGCAATGAGTTTGCAACCTAACCATGGCTCTAGTTCCCTAAAGTTCAGGATATGGGTTAGTCAATAGAGGGTCTATGGTTAATTGTCCGGATGCACCGCGCGGAAGCCTAACCGTGAAGGGTTGGCGCGAGTGGATGGGACACCACGAGTTTTAGAAAAAACTCGCTTCCATGGTTTGGTGAATTCGACATCTGGGATGTACCCTTTGTTGCACGGAGCGTTCAATCGGGTAGATGGAGCATGAATTCCCAGAGGGTTATGTCCATATGTAGAACACATATGGGTTTCAGAAAAGTGAGAAAAAATCAATCAGGAAGTAGGATCGAGCAAACAATGCTAAAAACAGGTCGAAATTAGAACGCATATTTCTGGCTCGGTATTGGAAGAACTTGGCGCCAGCAAACAGAGGACGACGCCACAATTTGGCTTTAGCGCCTGGCGACAGAAGCTGTCTCCTAGCGCTAAAGTCAAATAAGTGGTGCTTCACTTTGTTTCCTGACGCTAGTTCCTACATGCCTCAGCAGCTTTCTGTGCTCGATAAAATTTTCCAGTTTCGCGCAGCATTATTTCGGTCCTAGTTGTGAAAGATATTCCTCAAATTTCCTACGTGTAAAAATCCTATGTTTTAACTCATTACGGATGGTCTTTCCAATGAGATCATTTTTATGCATATGACAATAATGTTAATCAAAATTACGTACATGAAATACTTAGAAATTTTCGAGTCTCATCCACTCATTCTAAATCATTGCTGAAATAAATTTCAAGAATTAAAATAGAAATCCTCCCCAGTGGAGTCGCCAAAAACTGTTGGGAATATTTCAAGCATTATCCCTAGCTTGAACCCCACTGTGATCATACACTAAAGTAAGGTGGCGTCCAAAGGGAAAGAAGATAGAGCAAAAGAGTCGCCAATAAGTTTTAGGAACTTGTAAACCGTTCACAGGGTGAAGGTTACACCCCTTAACGATCTAGGAGATCGTTAACTCCAATAGATCTTGAACCATGACTGGTAGTTCGGGGATGAAGGTACAAATCCAACCTAAAAGTGATTGAACCTGCCTTAATAATAGGCCTCTACTTTATTCTGATCGTATTCATGTGCGCTTTCTGACTAACATGCAAGCAACATGATTAACCCTAAACCTGTTTATCTATGTTGGTTGAATATTAATGCACAGATAAAACTATTATTGGCGATCACTTGAATTATAATCAAATTAAACCTAAACATTATTATTAATTAACTTATATAAGTGTGATTACAAGTTCCAATTCCCTTTAAACATGCATAAAAGGTGTGATTAAGCAATAACAATAAAAATAGCATCAAGCAACATAATAATAATAATAAATAATAAAAATAATAATCATGTTAAAGCATAATAATAGCAAGATCCTAGACATGATACTAACAAGATTGATAACAAACCCTAACATGTCACTAAGCATTAAAAATCAAAGCTTTAACCCTAACATGATACTAACAAACTATTAGGAAAGAAAATAGAAAGCATCATAGAAATCATAATTGACATTATATTCTTTACCCTAAACATGATACTAGGAATTTATTGTTGTCATTCTAAACATCAAGCATCCTAACATAATACTAGGAATCACAATAACAACTTAGACATGATTTCTATATTATAATATCAATAAACCAATTAAAGCACTTACTTGGATGCCTCGTATCTCTTTCTAATAACAAAATACACACGTTAGTAACTTCAAGGAAAATAATAAACAAAGCAATTAAATTAAATAATTGAAAAAGAGATTTGGGACCAAACCCTCAGAAATATCAAACCTTTCATGTGTAGGGCGAAGGCAACTTCGAACTTGGCTAGGTGTGTCTAGTGCTAATGTATGAGGAATTTTGTTTATAAAAGGCTAGGCTAGAAAGAGGGAGAGAGAATTAAGAAATTCTTGATGAGAGTTTATGAGAATTGGTGAATGAAAACGGAGTTTTTAGAAGGCTATTTATAGAGAAAATCAGCCAAAAAGATAAAAAAAATCGAAACAGAGTTCTGACGCGCAAAACGTGGTTAGGGCCAGGCGCTAACGCTAGCGCCAGGCGCCAAGCTTAGCGTCAGGCGCTAATGCTGGCGTTTGGCGCTAACTTAATTATCGACGCGTTTTCTAAAAATCAGATAGAAATTGTCGTACAGGAGGATAAAATCGTATTTTCCTCATAACACATTCTTTTATTCTGATTAAAACTCTAAAAAGTCAACAAAAATCAATTTATCAATGCTAATTGAATTAGGAATGAAAAGAACCTTCTACAAGAATCTAGAAGACTAAAACCATTCCTAATTGCATTAGGAATGACAAATCCATATTAGGCCCTCCTCTAGATCATTGGGCCGCATATAAAGCTCAAACCAGGCCCAGTTCAGTACTTTGGCCATAACTTCCTCAATATTCATCGGAATCGGGCTTACAATATATCGTCGAAAAGGTCTTTTCAATCCCTATCCAACTACACTACTATTGGACCCATATCATGGACCAAACAAACTGGATTGACTGTTTTCTTAAAATAGGTTTTCAAAAACAAAGAGAAGAGAAAAAAATTAAAACTATCCGCAACACTAAACTTTCCACACTTTCACTTTATTCGATTATGATTCGACGTGAAAGGTAATCATCACTTGGTTTGGTTTTGGGGAGACACAAATGGGTGTCTACAGCTATTGTTTAACAAAATGCTTCTAACTAATGTGCTCTATGCTTTGTACCAGGCTCAATTCCTCCTTTGGTTGGGGAAAGGTACTGGCCCAAGGTGACATACCAATTGCAGCCACCATCCATCAAAATTTGGCCAAGTAGACCTAGAAAGAAGAGGGTGAAGGACCCTTATGAGAACCCAAAGAAGCCTGGGGTGTTGACCAAAAATGGTGTGGAAATGACCTGTTCATTGTGTAATGTGAAAGGTCACAACAAAAGTAAATGTCCTAAAAAGGGCAAAATTGTCCCACCTGAACCTACAGCTAAAAGGCCTAGGGGAAGACCAAGGTCTGATGGACAGCAATCAAACCAGCACCAAACCTCTGACCCTCAACAACCACAACAACAGACAGCTGATCCACACCATGGAGTGTCTTCCCAACTAACTCAGCTTGGGAAAGGAGGCAGAGCTATAAGAGGGGGGAGAGGCTCCAGGGAGGGTCACTCAATTGCTGGGAGAGGCCAGTCTCACCAAACAGGTGTTGCAGCTGGTGGAAGAGGCTAAGGAAGGGGTCACAAAGCTAAGGGAAGCACAGGAGGAGGTGGGAGAGGAAGGGGAAGATCTCAGCCACCAAGGGGAGTTGGTGTTCTTTTTGCAGAAGATGGATCTGTCACAACTAATGTATGTGTGTGCTGTGCAATTCTAATTTATTATGTATTTTGTTGAATTTGTTTATGGTGTATAAACTGAATCTGGATTTTTCTTTTTCACAGGTCACAAGGGGAGCTCCAACCCATAGGAGTAGAAACAGTAGGGGTAGGACTGTATCAGTGAACCAAAGTGCTCTGAATTTCTTGGTTATGGGCACCCAGCCAAGTCAGCAGTCTACAATGACCCAGCAGCCTCAGTAGCACCTTGTGTGTGTGCTTATGGTTTTTGTTTTTTTTTTTTGTTGCACAAACAATTATGACATTATGTCAGCATGAAATTAAATAGTTGCTTTTGTATGCAAATCAGCTAACCAAACTAATATCACATTAGGTCTAGCTGTGTCTTTTGGTAAACATTGATATGTATGAATGGAGTAGTTATCTATGCTACTACTTAGGTTGTTTCATTATCCTTGTTTATTTAGTGTACTCTTTTTCATATAATATTTTTGCATATCTCACTTAATTCAAACACTTTTGCACAAAAAAAGGATTTCATTTCACAAACCATTAAAGGTCACCATTACAAACACAATTCTTTCACTTCTAAAATCCTACCTACTTCAGATACACCATCAGAATGCCCACTATGATACAAACAAAGATGAGATTCCTATAGAAATTTGTTTCAACCCTTGAGCAGTGCATAAGCTCCATCCTCAGCTGGCAAACTTCCCTTTTCAATTCTTTCACTTTTCCCTCCAGTTTCTCTTTCCTTCCTTGCACTTTCTTCAGCTTCTCTTCCATCAATGTCTTCTGATATTCCATCTCTGCTAAATTAGTGTCCTTCTTAAATATTTGAAATCGTAGATCATCCTCATTGCTGGCTTCAATCCACTTCATAAAATTGCAATTCGTATCCTACACACAACAATCCCAATCGAATTCATAATTAGCATCACATATGTGAAACCCTAATTCTGAAATTAAACTCAAATAAGTAGATCTTAGGTTCAAATTACCAAAATTTAAACAGAAACAATTGCAACTCTATTATTTTTCACGACTTACCGGCCATTTAGGACAGCCATAAAACTTTGAACCAAAATTATTCCCCTTCTTGACAGTTCGCACCACCGCATCCAACCCACAACTACACTTCATTGTTGGATAACGAAATCCCCCCCCCCTTGAGTTCGCAGAAGAACCACAAGAACCACTTGCCATTATTAATCATCAAGCAATTTGTTCGCAGAAGTAAGGAGAAGTGAAAGGGGGGATAGGGGAAAGTAAGAGAAAGGGGGAAATACGAATTACAACGGTAACAAAAAGGGAAAGGGTCCTTAATAGAGGAAATAACTGAAAACACAAAAAAATAAAAAAAAAATAATAAAGCCACGTAGGACTTTTACCTGAAGTAGAAGGTAAGGTGACCTGTAGGGATTGAAGAAAAACAAAGCCCCCAAAAGTTGGGATTATTCCAGTATAAATGAAATTTGGGATTATTCCATGCAAATTAACGAAAGTTGGGATTAATTTTTCTAATTTTTCCTAAAACTTTTCTATTTTAAAAGTCCTAATTTTATGCGAATTGAAAGACATTCAAAGATAGACAGATATTATTTTTGCGCCTCATAGTTTTTATCCAAATTTTATATGGTTGGATAGTCCTTGAAATTATCTTTCTAATTATATATTATAATATCAATTCCGAGCTATATATAACGAAAAAGATATGAATAAAATATCAAACTCTATCCAAAACTGACTCAGTCTCACTATTTTGGCCATATATTTTACTCTATAAAATATTTTAATCTGATTCCAATTGGGTTAGAAAGTAGAATTCAAGAGCTTTCCAACGATATCTTATTCATCTTTATTCCGATTTATGGATCAAAAGATATGATAAAAACAAAAACCGCAAAAACTGCAGTCTATCGAGTTTTATTCCGATTTAATTCGGATCTTATCTTAATTCTTCAACCCTTCTTTTTTTCTCTATAAATAGAGGTCATATCACCCCTTTTACAGTCATCAACAAGCTTGATCATCAAATAATTCTCTTCTCCCTCTTTAGCCTAAACACTAGCCTCCTCATTCTTTCACTATTCCTTCCTTTAAGCACTCCAAGGAGTCCATATAATACCCAAAGTTCTATACTTAAAACCAAGGCGTGAAAGGTATAATTGATTGAGGGTTTGGACTAAATCAACTCTACTTTTTATTTAATTTAATTGTTTGAATTTGATTTATATTTTAATTGAAGTTACTAACAGTTTATTCATGATGTAGCAGTTTAAAGGAACGTACAGATTGTAAGTAATTAATTAATTTAATTACTCTTATTTTATTTTAATATTGCTAGTATCATGATTAGGTTTATTTATATATGATTTGACTAACGTTATTATTGTTAAATTGCTTCCAATATTAATGGTAATTCTATTATATTTTTTATGATCACCATATTGCATGTTAAAGGGAATATGTAATTGAAAATCACGCCTAATAAGATAATTTGGACAACCGGTTTAGGTTCCTTTTTTAATCTTGTTATTAAATCAAGTGATCACTAATATTTTAGAATTATGTGTTGCATTAATATTCAACCAATTTATCCTAATAATAGTTTGGAGCAAATTGAATATTTTGTTTGTATGCCTTTGAGATCGCAGGAATCACTTTTCACTATAAGAATCGAGTAGAGGCCAATACGGGCGAATGTGACTCCATGACTCACTTCGTACCATCATCCCCGATCTCCTTTCGTGGTTCTGAACCATATGGAGTTAGTAATCTCATGGATTATGAATGGGGTGTAACCTTCACGGGTCAATCGTTGTTGCCTATCGTTGTCCCTTTATTCGTGGTTACCTTTTATGATCCGTGAATGGTTTACAAGTTCCTTAAAAACTTGTTGGCGGCTCCCTACTTTCCTTGTCCCTAATCGTAATGTCAATTCCCACTTCCTATGAGTGCCAAGCATATTCACCACATGCTTTAACGTAGGCGCACTTCGAACGACGCCTACAGTGACGTGTTCAGGATAGCCTTTTCTTTCTTTTAGTTTGGTTTAGGTTCCCCATTACGAAGTTGTCCCTTCGTAATTTTGAGTTGTATTCGAGGGGTAACATAAAAAAAATGAAATACAAAAAAAAACCTGCTCGAACAAAAAAAATCACAAGAACAGGTAGCGCGTTGTAGACACCCAAATGTGTCTCCCCAAAACCAAACCCAGTGATGAATACCTTTCGCGTCATTTGATTATCGAACGAGGTGAAAATGTGGAAAGTCTAGTGATGAGGATGTTTTTATTAAAATATTTCTTTTTCTGTTTTCTAAAAATATTTCTTTTCTCACTCTTATTTATGAAAAATAGCCGGTTCAATTTGGTTTGGTCCATAAAGGTCCAATAATAGTGTAGTTGGATTGGGCTCGAAAAGAGCTTTCCAATGATATATTATATTCCCAATTCCAATGACTTATGAGGAAGTTATAGATTAAATTAGATTAGGCCCAATGATTTTCAAAGGTGGCCCGATGATCTAGAGGAGGGCTTATTAACTATTATTTTAAAAATAATGTTCTATTTTGAATAAAAAATATTAAATCTGATTTCGAAAACTGCCCGAACGCTTGATTACCTGCAACCGGTGTTGAAGGTAATTATGCGTGGAAAAGCGCGTTGACTTTTGGACCAGCGCGAGACGACGGAGTCGTCGCCTGGCGACGAGCTCGTCGTTTGGCGCTGGCTCCTGTCGTTTGCGACGGGAGGAGTTTTATTCCAAATATGATTTTCTTTGATCCCGTGCTATTTTTCTTATAAATAGGGGTCGAATGTCCCCGTTTTCAAATCATCTACAATCATCAACACCTAGAATTCTCCAATTCTCTCTCTCTGTAAAAGCTAGAAGCTTTCTCTCTCTCTCTTTTCTTTTTCTAAACCTTCCCTCTCTCAAAATTCCTCATACATTAGCTTTAGAAACACCTAGCCAATTTCGAAGGTGCCTTCGACCTAGACGTGAAAGGTTTGAATTTCTGAGAGTTTGGTCCCAAATCTCTATTTCAATTATTTGATTTAATTGTATTGATTTATATTTTCCTTGAAGTTACTAACGCGTGTATTTTGTTATTAGAAAGAGTTACAAGGCATCGGAGTAAGTAATTTAATTGTTTCATTATTCTCTTGACGTAGAAATCATGTTTAGATTGTTATTTTGATTCCTAGTATCTTGCTTAGGATGTTTTATTGCTTCCTAGTATCAAGTATGATTAAAAGAATGCTTCCTATGTCTTTTCTTATATCACGTTAGTATTATGTTAGGGCTAAAGCTTTGATTTTTATGGCTTAGTGACATGCTAGGGTTTGTTATTAATCTTGTTAGTATCATGCCTAGGATCTTGCTATTAATGATATGCTTTAACATTATTATTTTAATTATGATTGTTATTTTGATTATAATTATTATGTTTCTTGATATATTATTACTGTTATTGCTTGATCACACCTTTTATGCATGTTTAAAGGGAATTTATACTTGTAATCACGCTTAATAAGATAATTAATAATCTTGTTTAGGGTTAATATGATTATAATTCAAGTGATAGCCAATAATAGTTTTGTTTGTGCATTAATATTCAACCAACATAGATAAACAGGTTTAAGGTTAACCTATTGATTGTATGTTATTCAGAAATCGCAAATGAATACGAGAAGAATAAAGTAGAGGCCTATTATTAGGGCAGGTTCAGTCTCTTTTAGGTTGGATTTGTACCTTCATCCCCGAACTTCCAGTCATGGTTCCATACCTATAGGAGTTAA